GCCATGCTTGCTTGTGGATTTCTTTATGTGCCTCTTCCTTCTCTGCTGGCCCCCGTGCAAGCCAGAATCTTCTACTCGGTTATTATGTACACCCGGCTTCCTCTCATGGCTTGGCATCATTGGGATTGTATGCATCACTGGTAATGACACTGTCATGTCTGCGGGTCAGGAGGGCTCTGGAGAGCCAGCCATCCAGTGCGCCACGCTACATTTGAAGAGATAATATTGTTCCTGGTGAAGGTTATTCGGCTGCCAAGCAGCCCTGGTTTAAAAAACAGAACAGCTCCTCCCAGATGACAGGGCTTAACAACAGCAGAATGGCAGGCAGCCTAGTTCTTCCCCCAGACAGTGGGGAGGGCTTGGTGTGTAGAGGGGCAGGAGCTAGCCTAAACGGTGGGGTGCATGACAGACAGGTTCAGGCTGAGGTGTGCAGGAATAGCACGAGCTTGGCATTTGCTGGTGTGTGTGGGTGGGACAGTTCAATAGCTGGAGCAGCTGGTAGAAGATGCCATCTTCCAAGGCTTGTCACGAGAAACCATGGAACTGTGAGGCAGGCAAACAGGATTCATGGAAAAGCAGATGCAGTTGGTAGGGAGATGTCCTCTGTCAAAGTCCAAAGGCAATATGAACTCTTGGTCTCAGTTGTTTGTCATTGAAACTGTGCGGAATCCCCACTTCTGAGCAGAGGGTGGGGCCAGGGTAGACAGAGATACATTGCCTTTCTGTGTTGCAAGGTGGAGCCTTCCCAGAGCTGAATGCTGAAGGCAGACAAGTCTTGAAAACACAGTATTGTGTGAATCTCCCAGCTTAGATCAAAGCACAGTATTGTATGAGTCTCCCAGCTTAGATCCAGCCTACTGTGGATTGACTCGTAAGATACCAATGTTCTATAGGCAGAGCCTAATGTGTGTGTAGTGGATGTGTCCTCATTATGTTTCTCTGTCTCTCGGCACCACTTCTTTAAATGGAGACGTTCACAGCTCTAGGTAAAACCTTTTATGCATTCCATGTTGCCAGGATCTAGATCACTATTGAGAAGCTTTCTTGAGCAGTTGAAAGCAGGTAAATGGTTAGATATGAGCTGTCTTTATATCAGAGCAGCATAGATGCAACAGATCCAGATGATGCAAATGCATGAGGCATGGGGCTAGAGGAGGTTCAAACGTGCTTCTTCCCACCCATGCTTCCACACACATGTTCACACATGCTACACATATGTACACAGACATATACATTTACTAACATACCACTCACACACTATATATATATATATATATATATATATATATACATACAAAGGCATATACATATAATAAGAATGTGTAAAAATCATTTTCTGAGTGAATTAACTATTTAGAGAGGAAGTGAGGTCTGAGAAGATGACTTAGAGGGCAAAATGCTTGCTATACAAATAGGAAGACCAGCATTTTGGTGTCCACCACCTGTGTTAAAATCAGGAGCTGCCATGGATGTCGTAACCCCAACACTGGGGTGTAGACAAAGGCAGATCTCAGAGGCTGCTTGACAGCTAGCCTGATGGAGACATGGGTTTCAGGTTCAGTGAAGAGACACTGTCTCAAAATTCACAAAACAAAACAAAAGCAAAGGAGAAAGATAGAGGAAGACATCCAATATCCTCCTCTGGTGTCCACATACATATGTATGCATCATTACATACACATATACACATACATACACCCCCACATATCTAACCACACACATACACATACAAAGCAAATGAATCCATTAATCAAAAAAAGAACGAGGCTCCCCAAGCACTTCAAAAACATTTTAATGTATAACAATTAAAATTATTTTTATCCATACATTTCTTTCCATTAGCTGGTAAACCAAATCAGAGGAAAATAGCTTTAATTGCAAGTATAACCCATCCTTGACGGAGCATTACTTGTGTTCTGTGTCCTTACGTCTCCTCAACTCTATGACTTTCTGTCTTGGTAGCCCCCTCACAAGTCAAAGAATAAACATGCATGTGGAACTCCTTGACCCCAAACTAGGCTTCTACTTTCCTGACTGGTCAGCTTTAGTAGGGAGTCAAATAGTCGTGTGTGTGTGTGTGTGTGTGTGTGTGTGTGTGTGTGTGTGTGTGTGTGTGTGTGTGACTTTTTCAGTGTCCTTTGAACAGACCAGTGACTCTAAGAAGGTCCTGGGCTTTTAAGACCTTGAACCTTTAGTTACTACAGAAAAGTGGATCCTGAATTTCTGTAAGTTAGAATCCATTTGCTTCTCTCTCCCCAAAAGTTCCCTAGGTAACTCCATGCTTTCTCCTAATTCAGCCAGCTCTTGTCAGCTCCAGGTGGAGAGAGCAGAAAACAGAATTCAAGTTCCTCTCATGTCAGAATAAATTCAGCACATACAATGTTCTTTCTAACTCCTGTCTTTCCAAGGTTTCTGAGGTAGTCATTCATGACTTGATGGATCTGGAAACGTTTAAGGATTTTGTCAAACAACAAGCCTTGCTAAGAGAGGATGTCAGAAATCAGGGCCAAGGACCTCTGTCTAAGCCCCATCAGTTTCTTTCTCTATCCCTCCTCATCTACCATTTTCTCTAGAAATGAAATGATTCAAGCAGAGAATTGTGACTATCTAGAAAGGTTCTGACCTTTGAGCACTCTCAACTTTACTTTTGGGCAGTGATGTAAGGAAGTATGATAGCTACTATTCATTACCAACTTGATAGGAGCTAGACACAATCCCCTAGGAGAAAAATCTCTGGACATGTTTGTGGGGGAGGTTCTAGACTGTCTTAGCTAAGGTGGGAAGACCCTCCCTAGATTTCGTGGCATCTTTCCATGGGCTAAGGTCCTGAACTGAAAAGGAAAAAGTAATTTGAGCCCTGCATTCATCCCTTCCCGATTCTCTATGGTGGATGCAATGTGACCAGCCGGTTCATGCTCTGCAGCCATGACTTCCCTGCCATGACACCCTTGAATTGTGAGCCCAAATAATCCCTCCCTCCTTTAAGTTGCTTTTGTTGGTATTTGTCACAGCAATGAGGAAAGTGACTAATTACAGGAAGAAATATTTGTTTCTTATAGGATTAACAATTGTCTAGAGAGGCAGTGCCTACAATGATATGTTGTAATTCTTAGAGGCTGATGGCAACATAGACAATATTCCCATGGAAATCTCACCAGTGTTTTTGCTTGATTCAGCCAATTACCTTAGCAACCACTAATAGCACATGGCTTCCTTCCCATCCCACAACAAGCACATTCTTAACTCATTTTAGTTGAAAAAGAAGTCCATCTGTTAGGTGATATTAAGATGCAGAGAGGTGTTCTTATGGAGGTGTTCAGCCTCCTCTTTTAAATGCTTGACAATATGCCACAGGTAAGAGGAGAACACAGGGTAAGTCCAACACTCTCAGCATTCCCCCTCCCTTCCCTCTCCTCTCCTTTCATCTCTTCTGCTTTTCTCTCCCCTCCCTCTCCTCCTCACCTTTTCTCCCCTCTCCTCTCCTCCCTTTTCCTGCTCCTCTTTTCAGTTCCCCACTCTCCTTTCCTTTCCTCTCCTTTTCTCTCTTTCACTCTTGTTTCCTTTTATTCTATTTCCTCTCTTTTTTTAGTTTCTATTCTGAGCCCTCTTTATTGATCTAAGAAGAAGAGATGGATATGTCCTTCCTTAACCCAGCTTCAATATCAGACACCTAATGATATTGCCCCATTCTTCTCTAGCTTCATGCACTAGAGATGTTTCAACAGAAAACCCCTAGTTATCTTTTTTCTTCTTAAAGAGCTGTAGACTACATTCTCTGAGACACCATGATATTATAATCATTTTTAATTTTTTGTAGTTAGAAGATAAGAATGAAGGAAAGAGAAAAGAGTATAGTCTAAGAAGACTAGTTTATTTCCTACGCTCCCTGGGGCTCTTGGTCACAGATTACTGGTATTTTCTTATCCTTAAGGTGATGATGGGACTCCAGATAAGATTGTAATTCTACAAGAGGACAGAATGGTATATGAGACTGCTGTTGAGAGCAGATTTCCTCGTGATGGTAACTATCTAGGTGAGATATGAAGCTTTGGACAGCAATGAGTCTGCACACACACCAACTGTGGATGAGCATGGTATTTGGTAAAGATCGGGCTGCAATGGGAGATAGGATTCCAGTTAAGGGTAGAGCTGCAAGTGAGAGTGGGATTCCAAATGAGGACAAACTTCAGGTGAGGAGGGTTCAGCCACAGGGATGAGGGACTGCAAGGGAAGATGGTATTCCACAGGAACATGAGCCTCTGGGTAAGGATAGGACTCTGCATGAGTATGGTCTTGAATGTGAAGAGGGCTGACAGATTAGGGAGGATCCCATGTATAAGTGTCAATGCCACAAAGACTGCATAGATTTGGTCCTATAGGTGGGGTGGGCTGATGGTCAGGGTGGATTGCAGGTAACGCTAGTACGATGCTAATGATGGGATTATATGTGGGCACAAGGCTGTGGCTGAGAATAAATATCTGTGTGAGTTTTGTCCTGAAGGTGAAAATGGACTTCAGATGAGGATGAGATTCTGGGCAAGGACTCTATACGTCAGGTGGTGATAGTACTCCATACTTCCTTCTTTAATTTTACTCTTTTTGTAGCAGGGCCCAATGTGTGCTGTCATTACACTCATGTGTGTAGCCATCCTAGAACCAGGGACAAACCCAGAAAAAGCTAACTACCCTCCTGATATAAGCCATCCACTGGAGAGTTGGGTTTTCAAAGATGTGCAAACAGCTCAAAAAGACTACTGTACTTCCTTTTAAATTTTATTAATTTATTTAATATGGAGAGTGTGGGGCTGCAGGTGAAGATGGAACTATGGTAAGGAAATAACTGTAGAAGAAGGTGAGTCTGCTGGAGATGGGAGCAGGATCTCCTATACTGGGCAAGATCAGCCATTCCCCTCTCCATGGCTCCAAGGACAGAGAAACACAATTCCATCCCCATACATATATAGAGAGGACCTCTTTGCAAGAGAAGCAGGGTTGCTTACTTAGATTGTCTTCATCCTCCGTGTTTGTGGTGCCAGGACTTAGGTACTTGAAGGGAGCGAGGAAGGGGGACAGGATGTGTTTGTGGTGCCAGGACTTAGGTACTTGAAGGGAGCGAGGAAGGTGGACAATATGCTTACTTTGTCTGGAAAGAGAAAGAAGAGGAAATGTACTTTTGACATCAAACTTCAGAAAAACCCAGTGCTTTCCTATGTTTGTATTCCCAGAAGGTTAGACGAGGGAGGTGGAAAGATCAACATGGCTGCAGACTCTTCATTCTGGCTCCACCTTTTATTGCATTTCTGACAGCATTTTGTCAGATTCCTCTCTCTGTTCATTTTAAAGCCTTATGATTTCCATGTATCTTTCCTGATTTATTTATTTTTGGCATCTTCTCTGCTCTTGTTCCACATCCCTGAAAACTTCAATTGTGTTCATCTACTTACAGGTGGGTGGACTAACACCTATTAAGGAAATTTTTAGAAAGAAAGTTGAGTAAAATAATTCCACAATTCAGAGGGGATTGTCTCCCAAAAGACAAGGATTCTTCCAACCTTCACATGTGGAACATTTGCTATGAGCTCTTGAACTATAAACATGAAGTAAAAAGGTAGAGAGACAGACACACACACACACACACACACACACACACACACACACACACACACACACACATGCATACAAACACACATACACACACAAACAAAGGCTCATTGAATCCATAGTCATATCACTTAGTGAGTGTATTAGTAGAAGTACTAGAAGTGAAAATTACACCAGTGTCAGGAAGAGGGCCTGAACCATCCCTGGTCAAATGTCATTGACACTGATGGAATTCCAGTGACCCAGGAGCAGCTGGCTTTCTGCATCCATCTTGTCCTGGTTGATGTGTATTTCACTCTGTAGCCCAGGCTGGCCTAGAACTTGATATCTTCCTACCTCAGCCTCCCAAAGACTAGGATTACTGGTGTGCACCAACATGCTCAACTGGCAGTTTCTGTCTTAAACAGATAGATGATGGAATTCTAGGTGGGAAGTGCTACTGGGAAACACATTTTAGGATGAGTAATTAAATCGAGTCGATGTTCCTTATTTTAGAAGTTTCTACTGAACAAAATATAGTGTAGAAGCTGCGAGTATCTGTTCACACAGCACCTACTCTCTATTGCCAGAGACTCAGTGCAGGGCGCTCTTGGAATCCACACTCTTCTTGTGTCTGCAAAACCCTCTCTGTTTCATTATGAATCTGGACCACAGTCATTAAATGACTACAGATGAAAGTGCTATGTTACTTGTCTGCTGTGGTACAGCATTAGAGGCATTTCTGATCTCCTCTTAAGCTGCTTGGGGCACTGGCCATGAAGGACTTCGTTGCTGTGCTGTGCAGGGCCCTTTCCTTCTCCTCTGTAGCCTTTCCCACTTGAGGGCAGGGTGTTTTAGTGGGGTCACTGTGTTCAACACTGCCTCTTGTCTCTTCCTGTTATTACAGAGGACTCCTGCCTGTACTAGTATTCCCATTTGCACTTATACCTTGATCTAAGTGCAGATATCCATGAAAATGCTCACTGGTGGTTTTAACTGCCCTTAGCCTTCAGGCAACCAGACCCAGGCTGGAACTTTCTCTTTTCTTTCAAGGCTGAGCGTATTTTCTTTTTAGACAAGCTTTCCAGAGGCCAGAGGAGATCACATTGAAATTCATCTCAGAGCCTGTTAACAGCTGTTGTTTCCAGTAGGGACAGGCACCAATATAGTGTTCACACAAAGAGAACAATAAATAACTCTAATATGAGGTGGCTGCTCCTCCTTCATTCTACCAAACACGAAGGATGAACGCAGCCAAGGCTTTGCTCTCTCCCCCCCCTCTCCCCCCCCCCCCCCCCCCCGAGCTCTCATCGCCCAAGCTCATTTAGTCCAACAGAATGAAATACCTTGCTTGAGTTATAATTTCATTAAGTGAGTCCAATAACGTTGCACAAAGACTGTGAAGCTCAAATGATTTTGTCTGGAGGATCTCAAAATGAAATTATAATTTTTTAATAAAGCAGGAACACTAGCAAAACCCCCACAAAATATACCAAACTATTTCACAGCAAAACTGTGAAATATATAGACTATTTTAGATCCATCCACATCTTCACTTTTTGCCCTGGCTAGGTTTTTTTCCCCATGTCTATCAAACAAAAAGAATGCATCCAGTTAAAATGGAATTTCAGATGAGCAGTGTTTTTCAGTGTACATGTGGTCCCCATATTGTGCCAGGCAAGTATAAACCAGGACAAGTACTTACTATTTATTAGGAGTTCATGTTTAAGGCAAAGGGTGTGGGAAGACATTTCTCTAAGGAAGATATTCTACTGGCCAATGAACACATAATGATTAATATCAGCAGTTATTAAGGAAGTGCAAGTGCAAGGAAAACCACAATGAAACACTACACCGCATCCACAGAATAGCTATTGTAAACAAGGCAGAAAATAGAGGGATGGTAAAGATGCAGGGAAAGTACAAACCCTGAGCTTCATTGATGATGACATGAACCATTGTACTGCTGTGGATATAGCAATCCCTTTCATAGGTGTATACCTTAAAGAACTAAAAGCTTCACCTTATGGTAGCCTAGAGATGGAGGTTCAAGTGTCCACTGTCAAATGAATAAATAAACAAAACTGTGGTACACCCTCATAGTGGAAAATTATTCAGCATGTAAAAGAAAGAAACCCCATATGTAATTTGCCCACATATGGTTGAAATTACAGGCTTTATAGTAAAAGAAAAATGCTGTATGATCTCACTTAGAGGCACAATCTGAAAAGTCTAATGCACAGGGGTGTGGGGGAGTAGCTGCCAGTCAAAGAACATAAAGCTTTCACTTTATGAGTGAGTATGAGAGTATAAGGTTCTTATTCCCTAATGAACAGCAACCTGGTTGTAGGTAACAGCAATGCATGGAACACTTGCAGTTTGGTAAGAATTGAGTTTATGTCCTTAGTACACACACACACACACACACACACACACACACACACACACATTCAGACACACATGATGGTAACTATGAGTGGTGATGGGTATATTAATCTAATTATGATAATTATACAATGTATACCTCTATTAAATTATAACATGATCTATTTTAAATTTATATGATTTTGAGCCTATTAAATATATTTAAACTAAAATAAATCATCACCACATCAAAAAATAAAACTTAGCTAAATGTCCTATATTTATTTAAAAATATTTATTCATTTATTTTATGTGTATGAGAGTTTTTCTTGCATGTATGCATGTGCATCACATGCCTGCCAGGTACCCTTGGAGATAAAAAGAGAATATTGAGTCCCCTGCAACTTGAATGATGGATGATTGTGTCTCACCATGTGGATGCTGCGAATGGCACCTGGGTCCTCGGCAAGAGCAATAAATGGTCTCAACCACTGAGTCATTGCTTCATCCCTCAAATAGCTTATATTTCAATTAGTAGTCCTAATGTCTTATGAAGTTTTATTTTCTCTAGTAGAGTTTATATCTCAAGGGGAAGCTTATACAAATCAAATGAAGGCAACCAAATAAAACAGGGAACTCAGGCATGCACAACCAAAGAGCCAATTATTATCTGCTACCAGCATTGCTTTATACAAGAGAAATATCTTCATTCCAGAAATAATGGTTTTTAAGACAGAACTTAACACATCATTATAATATTCTCAGAAAATGTTGAACAATTACATTTTCGATATACAGAAAAGCTTGAGCCAAGTTATTTGATGTTAGTGGCTTTCCTTATCACCTCCTGGATGCTTCTTGTCTGACATCATGTTTAACTGGTTCAACATGCATGGAACTTCAGTACTCAACCAATTCTCATTTCTTAAGTTTCACAGACATCTTTTGGAAAGTAGATTTCATGCAGATTGCTAATGAAAGATGGAGGCTATATCCCATTCGACCCAATTTTGGGTGTATGAAGAATTCTTTGCACTTCTTGTTGCCTCCTCAAACTCTGAATGGTTGGTGAGGAGCCAAGTAGCTCTCCAAGGAACAGCCTGGAAGGCCTGGCTGGATCAGTCCTGCTCTGAGGCCATTCTTATCTTTTGCTTCTTAGCTCTAACTCACACTGTTTGATGTAGTTCTAACTCACATTTCTTGATGTAAGCCCATTAGAAACTGACCTGGAGAGCTGCAGCAGGCTGGGCATGACTCTAGAGGGCAAGACAAGATTGAATTCTGCCAAAGGTTGGCTCATAACTGGCCAAACACATATGCTTTAAATGCATTGCTTGAAAGGTTTTAGGAAATTTGCATTATAAACCCATATTACTTGTAAAACAAATAGCTTTGCTGTTACTGAACCAATTGTATGGTTTTTTTGGGGGGGGGAGAGGGAACATGTGGGGAAGCAATTTTAGGGCATAGAAGGACTTTTTTTTGGAGCCTCATGATATGAGAGAGCTAGAACTTGCAAAACAGAGGACCAAAGATGTCATTAGCATTATATTAATTTGGAAAACCACTGTTCTGACATAAGGCTGAAAGATATTCTTACTGGAATAACTTGCGGTTATTTTTAAAATGTTTATCATCATGTTTAGAACTTAAAACATTTCTTTGGTTAGAGTTACCCTAAGATATTTTTATGTTGCTTGTGGATATTGTAAAGGGTGATGTTTCTCTGATTCCTTTCTCATTGCATTTATCATCTGTATATAGTAGGGGTACTGATTTTCTTGAGTTAACTTTGTATACTGTTACTTTGCTGAAGATGTTTATCAGCTGGAGGAGTTCCCTGGTAGAGTTTTTCGGGTCACTTATGTAGACGATCATATCATCTGCAAATAGTGAAAATTTGACTTTTTCATTTCCAATTTGTATCCCTTTGATCTCCTTTTCTTGTCTTATTGCACTAGCTAGAACTTCAAGTACAATATTGAAGAGATATGGAACTCTAACCAAAAAAGTGAAAGACCTGTACAGTAAGAACTTTGAGTCTTTAAAGAAAGAAGTTAAAGAAGATACCAGAAAATGGAAAGATTTCCCATGCTCTTGGATAGGTAGAATTAACATAGTAAAAATGGCAATCTTGCCAAAAGTAATCTACAGATTCAATGCAATCCCCATCAAAATCCCAACACAGTTCTTCACAGACCTTGAAAGAACAATACTCAACTTTATATGGAAAAACAAAAAACCCAGGATAGCCAAAACAACTCTGTACAATAAAGGGTCTTCTGGGGGCATCACCATCCCTGACTTCAAGCTCTATTATAGAGCCATAGTTCTGAAAACAGCTTGGTATTGGCACAAAAATAGATAGATAGGCCAATGGAATCGAATTGAAAACCCTGATATTAACCCACACACTTATGAGTACCTTATTTTTGACAAAGATGCTAAATCTATACAATGGAAAAAAGATAGCATCTTCAACAAATGGTGCTGCACAACTGGATTCAGACATGCAGAAGATTGCAGATAGATCCATATCTGTCACCATGGACAAAACTTAAGTGCAAATGGATCAAAGATCTCAACATAAATCTAGCCACACTGAACTTTTTAGAAGAGAAAGTGGGATATACTCTTGAATGAATAGGCACAGGATACCACTTCCTGAGCATTACGCCAGTAGCACAGACATTGAGATCTGCAAATAATAAATGGGACCTCCTGAAACTGAGAAGCTTCTGTAAGGCAAAGGACACAGTCAGTAAGACAAATTGACAACCCACAGAATGGGAAAAGATCTTCACCAACCCTACATCTGACAGAGGGCTGATTTCCAAAATATACAATGAACTCAAGAAGCTATCCACCAAAACACGAAACACTGAAATTAAAAAGTGGGGTGCAGAACTAAATAGAGAATTCTCAACAGAGGAATCTGAAATGGCTGAAAGACACTTAAGAAAGTGCTCAAAATCCTTGGCCATCAGAGAAATGCAACTCAAAACAACTCTGAGATACCACCTCACACCTGTCAGAATGGCTAA